AGCAAGAAATTGCAGCGTTAATGACAAAGGATCAGAAAGACGACAATTTTACTGAAGTACAAAAAAAACCGGCAAGACGATCTTCCTTTTTTGACTTTCTGGAAAAGACTCTGAAAGGAAAAAGTGGATCGAGTCAAGCAGATGCAATTATTACACTATGATAATATTTTGGACAACAAAATGTATCAAAGGATACTCATCCACTTCTTGCGAACCCAAATCCATTAGAAATGTCTAGCCTTTCCTCAGAAAAAATGACCATGTTGCTATGTGTTATACATATCGTCGCTACCATGTCAAACTATCGAATGTGAAAATACGTAATTTTCAGGAGAATAAAGAAACTGTTGCAAAAAATGTTATCATTAGTAAAAAGTGTGAGATTCGACACTTTGTTAAAGCCAGCACCCTATGCTTCTATGAAGACTAGAAATTCGACGAGCCCCCCCCCTAACTTTCAAATTTTCCTTATATATATATAAAATAGTACTCTGAAATGCCAGCTTAATAGAGTCGAGCCCCCCCCCTCAACCCCTAAATTTCATTCTGGCTACGCCGATGCATACATATATACATATGTANTCCCCCCCTAAATTTCATTCTGGCTACGCCGATGCATACATATATACATATGTACATATATAATTTTTTCGCAACTATACATATAATAAAATTGTAACAAGGCGATGTCTGTACATTATAGATATTAAAGAAAAATTAATGTGGGGGGGTCTTTATTAGAGCACCAGAAGCCAAAACAACCATTTTTTAAATTTTTGTCTGTCCATCTGTATGTTTGCAAGCGCATCACTCGAAAACGAATGCATGGAATAGAATGCAGTTTTCACCGATATATTGCTAGAGGTCTAACTTAAAATATAGAAAGAAAAAAAATTTAGAGTTGCCACCTGTTTGAAAATTGGAGTTTAAGTAAATTGATAAGAAAAAGTGAATATTATAGTATTGGCGCCAAAAGAAAGAGGCTAAGCAGGCTTACAGCCAAAAATATTTTTTTAGAGTTAACACCTGTTTAAAAATTTTAATTTAATTTAATTTATAAGATAAATTGAATATTGCAATATGGGTATAAAATTGAAAAGGTTTAGAAAATTTTACTGTCGAAAATATTTTTGAGGAGGGTTGCCACCTGGTTGAAAAATTGTATTGTATTAAATTGATAAAATAAATTAAATCTATATCTATACTTATAATAAAATTGTAACAGGCCGATGTCTGTACCTTATAGATATTAAAGAAAAATTAATATGGTGGGTTTTTATTAGCTACAGAAGCCAAATCAACAATTTCTTGAATTTTGTCTGTCTGTCTGTATATTTGTACGCGCACCACTCGAAAACTAAAGCATGGAATCGAATTCAGTTTCCACCGATGTATTGCTAGAGGTCTAGCTTACAATATAAAATAAAAAATTAGAGAGTTGCCACCTGTTTGAAATTTTCAGTTTAAGTAAATTGATACTATAAAGTAAATATTGCAATATGGCTGTCAAAAGAAAGAGGTTTACAAAGGCTTACATATGACAATATTTTTGTGGAAGGTTGCCACCTATTTGAAAACTTTAATTTAATTTAATTGATAACATAAATTAAATATTGTAACTGCTTGAAAAATTTTATTCATTTAAATTTGTTAAATAAATGAAATATTACAATACGGACATTAAACTAAAGAGGATTAGGAAGCTTACTTTTGAAAATATTTTTGAAGCGGGTTGCCACCTATTTGAAAACCTTAATTCAATTAAATTGCCAAGATAACTTTAATGTTGCTATATGTATTAAATGTATTAAACAAAAGTATTTGAGAATAATAAATTGGGAACCATTTTCTCCTAGGTTTCTAAATCCCATTGAACTATTGTAACTTTGTTTTTAATTTTTAGTAAAAGGTAAAACTTATGAGAAAATTTTGAAGAATATTTTTTTAATTTTGCACAAAGAATGGAGCAAAGATTTTTCGAGTTTCGTTATAGACTGTCCTATCTACATACCTATTTGCATAAAATGATAGCCGTTTTCGTTGTTCGGACTAAACTCAAAAATCACTGAATGGAGTTCCGTATGATTATCGGAGGATATCTTACATAATTGGTCCTATTACATGCTACTAGAAAACTCGCTAGGTGGAGCTGGAGTAGAGTTATTTATAAAAATCGTATTTACTAACCGATTTCGTTCAAATTTTAACTGTGAGCTATGCACCTGTATGATGAAAAAGAAGAGTGCCGCTGGAGTCGAGGTTGAAATTCATAACCAGTGATCGGACTTCTACCATTTTGTGGTAGATCTAAAATTTGTTTGACCTTCTACCTCTTCTACCACACAAGGTCTGAAGTCTACCACATATTCGCGTTTTGGAGTAGTTTAATTTTTGCTCGACATAATTTTTTTTGTTTTAAATTTTGGGAGCAAAAATTGTCCAGCACTAAACACAATGTGGTAACAATAATGAGAATACAAGATTTCGCATTCCCGGCGGCGATGTTTAAATCTCATCTCATTAACAGATTTAAAAGTAAACAAAGAATGGGAGGATACAATAAAAAAAAACTTTCAAACAGTAAATTTTCTTAATATTAAATTTTTCGACAGGAAACGTGTTTCAATTATCTTAGAATGCAAAATATATGATTTATAAAAAGAATTAATAAAGAAAATGTCAAGAAAAAAATTTCCCTAACTCAACGCAGTNCTTAATTCAATTAAATTGCCAAGATAACTTTAATGTTGCTATATGTATTAAATGTATTAAACAAAAGTATTTGAGAATAATAAATTGGGAACCATTTTCTCCTAGGTTTCTAAATCCCATTGAACTATTGTAACTTTGTTTTTAATTTTTAGTAAAAGGTAAAACTTATGAGAAAATTTTGAAGAATATTTTTTTAATTTTGCACAAAGAATGGAGCAAAGATTTTTCGAGTTTCGTTATAGACTGTCCTATCTACATACCTATTTGCATAAAATGATAGCCGTTTTCGTTGTTCGGACTAAACTCAAAAATCACTGAATGGAGTTCCGTATGATTATCGGAGGATATCTTACATAATTGGTCCTATTACATGCTACTAGAAAACTCGCTAGGTGGAGCTGGAGTAGAGTTATTTATAAAAATCGTATTTACTAACCGATTTCGTTCAAATTTTAACTGTGAGCTATGCACCTGTATGATGAAAAAGAAGAGTGCCACTGGAGTCGAGGTTGAAATTCATAACCAGTGATCGGACTTCTACCATTTTGTGGTAGATCTAAAATTTGTTTGACCTTCTACCTCTTCTACCACACAAGGTCTGAAGTCTACCACATATTCGCGTTTTGGAGTAGTTTAATTTTTGCTCGACATAATTTTTTTTGTTTTAAATTTTGGGAGCAAAAATTGTCCAGCACTAAACACAATGTGGTAACAATAATGAGAATACAAGATTTCGCATTCCCGGCGGCGATGTTTAAATCTCATCTCATTAACAGATTTAAAAGTAAACAAAGAATGGGAGGATACAATAAAAAAAAACTTTCAAACAGTAAATTTTCTTAATATTAAATTTTTCGACAGGAAACGTGTTTCAATTATCTTAGAATGCAAAATATATGATTTATAAAAAGAATTAATAAAGAAAATGTCAAGAAAAAAATTTCCCTAACTCAACGCAGTTTTTAGCAACTTAAAATTTGCACATGTACTAAAATTTAAAAGCTTTTTTCTGGAGATTCTAATGGAAAAGTTTGTAATTTATGTGAAACATTGAACAATTTTTTAATTTTTGCACTGAGTTTGAAATTCGGATTTATAAGGTTTTTTTGACAATGAGGTGCATTTTAAAAAACCACCACATTTTTTTCCAGATTCTACGACACAGAATTCTTTTTAAGTCCGATCACAGTTCATAACGCGTATTCATTTTATGGTAAGCAATGGTTTTGCAAAAAATTGACCCAATGGATGGCGCTGCAGCCGAAATGTATAGAAACCCCATGTGGTTGGTCTGCTTTGGCCCTATGTTTAAGTTATAAGAATTTAGTTTTCAGATGTCTAAATGAAGGATGGGGTTAAGTTTATCTGACGCCCTCATGCACGATCATGCGATCTTGCATCTACGAAATCAGTTCATAAATATTACCACGAATTGTAAAAGTGGCGAATTAACAAGGAAATATCAGTTATAGCAATTGCTTCATTTGAAAGATATTCAAGAATTCACACGACTTATTTACCCAATGTACCGGAAAACTTTTCATCCTGTGGGACAGCGAGGATTCTTGGCCCTCCTATAACAGAAAACGCACTTCTGTGCTCTTGAGTTTCCTTATAAGAACTTTTATTGGCATACGTATCGCACCAATGTTGTAGTTGCAAGATCATAGAAAAAAGATTATGTATGCTTGCCAGAGATCTCACAGGTGGAAACAAGACCATCGGCAAGGCTCATGACACCGAAAGGGATTGATATTCCGTATGGTATCACAGCGTTACTATTGTTAGCGTATGTGTGAGGAGACACTGCGCCTTAGTGGTTTTAACTTAAACAAATATTTTGACTTTACAGACTGTTTTTGATTTTAAGCGCTCGTTTGCATTGGCCAACGCAAAAGTTCTTATTAGGCGCCGTGAATTAAGCGGGCATTGGCTAGTGCGACCCTGCGACGCACTCATGTTCATACGAGTAATTTGAAAAACTATGTATTAGTTTTGAAATTCATTTTGTTCATATTCCGATGTATACTGCGAAAACGCGAATGAGAAGCTAAAGCGGACAAAGAGGGATTAGTGAAAGTTGTAAAACAGCAAGGGCTGTCTTTCAAAATAAAGAGTTTAACGAGTGAACAAATCCGAAGGAGATCGTTCAGTAACAAGGGAAAATCTTTTATGTACTGAAATAATAGGATACTTACATATATATTTATAGTAAATGCAGTAATTTGATAAATATTAAAATAATTTATTATCTAACATTTATTAAGCCAGTTTTCACTATTAATTTGCTAAAAATTATTCTCTGACAGCAGCCAATTTAATGGTTCGCACCAAGAAAAGTTAAGAGATGGTTTGAGCAATGAGACAGACGCCGGTTCAGAGGGACAGCCATTTGATTCATATTCATTCTGCTGTGCTGCTTGCGTTCCTTCTCTTCCTTTTATTTTGGAGCTATCATCGTGCGGAGCTTCTCTCAAGTTTTTAAACATGGATTCACTCCCAACCACTTCCTTTGAGGACAGCGCCGCTGAAATGTGCGTGGTTTGGCTTAGATGATGTAAGATTTCACCAAGATCCGGAGATAGGCTTGATAACGGCGGAGCTCCATTTCGTGCTGCGGGTTCTAAACCGACTGCACACTTTACGGCGCGCGACATTTTCGGATTGTAAACTCCGTCACTTACTCCCATCTGACGTCTTATGGAAGGATCAATGGAATATGACATAAGACGTTGCACGATGCCTCTGTGTGTAATTTGCTCGCTCAAAGTTTGGGAGTCCTTTGCAGTTAATTTGTCATTACAATTAGGGAGTTTAGAATCTTTCTTTTCCTTCATGCGACGATTCTGGAACCATATCTTTACCTGTCGTTCACGTAGACACAAACGTTTGGCAATTTCGATGCGGCGTGTGCGATAGAGGTAGACATTTTTTCTGAACTCACATTCCAGCTCTAATATTTGAGTTCTGGTGAATGCTGTACGTGAGCGCTTCTGTTTATTTTCCAAAGCTACTGCTGCAGGTTCCGATTTATTATTCGATTGGTTATGTGGCAGGGAATGTAGTACTCCTTTGTGTCCGTAGCTGTTCAATGCTGCATTTTGACTAGGCGACACTCGACTGGTAGGGCTTGTATGATTCGTTATCTGAAATGGTGAATTTTTTACGGTTTGTTTGAACTACATATATTATGAGAATTACATATTATCACCTGAAATGCGGTAACAAACATCGTCACTGAAATGCAAAAAGTCGTAACTCATAAAAATTTCAGTTTTTGATTGATATGATAGATTTTACCGAATTACAAATCCCACATCATTTACTAAAAAAAAGTTATTGGTCACGATTCTTTCCATTTCAGTTACGATCTTGTTACGTCTTTCTGCATTGCAAATGACGATATACTATATTTATGTATGTTTTACTTACTTCTTTATAAATCGGTTTTGTTACGCTAAAGAACGTTCCGTTCGTAACATATGCCGGGAATTGTTGCACCGTCGAAGACATGTTGCTATCTTCTCAAACACTAAATCTCGTTTGAAAATTCTTCGACAGACGAAACCGCTTTTATACCAGTGGGCTATGCACTTGTCATCATGTTAGCTTGTATGTACATATGTATGTCTGTATGTACATTTTAAGCAAATGTCGCCTGGCCAAGGACACCAGATTTGCGTGCGCCCTCCCTAATCGCGGTTGGCACCACAAAGGCGAGTCCTTCTATTCATTTTACAAAACGACGTCGGGCGACGCGATCGTGTGCACAGGTAGACAACAATGTCCTTTGGCTACGCTCGCCTTCGGACTACCGCCAGCATAAAGATATAAATAAAAGAATGCAACAGAGGAAGCAGTCGAGTCTGCGCTACGAAAAGTGGTTAGTTTAGATGGTTAGGGAACTAGCAAAAAAATATGAAGAAATTTGCAGATGTAAAGTAACTAGAAAGTAGGCGGACGACGACCAGCGCGATGAAAGACTGATCTAAAAATGGACATTGAACCTTGAATAAGAGCCGTGCGGGCAGGGTTTGAGGTCGTTTAAAAACGAATGAAGAATTTTATGTGTAAAAATGCAAAATAAAATATTCAATATGAAGAGGCGATATGTGCACAATATATGTATGTATCTGTGTACGTTTAATGTATTGTTTACTTGTTTCAATGTAAAACCTTTAACACCTGTTGTTATAGAGGAACACGAGACAGTAGCAGCTTAGAAAAGGCGAGACAATAAATGTACACACATACACACATCCATACATATGTAAGTTTGTATTCATAAATACTTATATATGTACATGCTATCACTGATATTTAACATAAACAAAGTGGCGCCTCTTCCATATGCACCAACAGTAGGGCTGCCAGATATCTCTGTTGCCAAACCGGGACACTTAAAAACATAAAAAAATGAGATCATGAGATCATTACAACGTACACCAGCAAAACAAAACAATTTATCACAACTAAAGTACAGAGAATTTTCCACAATGCATGTACCTTTTTTGTTCCTTATAAAAATACAGTTTATACTAAATACATCAGAAAACATAAAAATAAAATTTCTAAACTTTGTGCAAAACTCGGGAAAATGCAATAATTTTGCATATGAAATTCGCAACTTTCGATTCAGACTTTTTTATAAAAATTTTGAAAATGAAGTTTTGCAGCCCATAAAAATTTAGTTGATTTTTGGTATTGTTTTTACTGAGAGTTTCTTCCATACAAACTATGGGTGCGTTCCAAAACGTCAAATACAAAGCATCAGTCTCTTTTATTTCTAAACCACACTAGAAGAAAAAGCCTAATTGCGCAACCTAGTAGAAAGCTAGCATCTAACCGTGGTTGCGCACATTTGGCATTAAAATCTACTGAGGTCTAGAAATAAAAGAGACTGATGCTTTGTATTTTGACGTTTTGGAATTCACCCTATGTTCGACATTTTTTTGTATGTGGAAGACACTGTCAACAAAAAATAAATAATTGCAAAAAATCAACGAATTTTCTGGTAACTTCAGACTTGCACTTTACTAATAGGCTCAAAAGCTACATTTTCAAAATTTTTCTAAAAGATCTGATTAGAAATTGTGATCAGGTGATAGAGTCTCCGAGCCAATAATTTTGTACGGCACGGTACTTATAAGTAATTTAGGTTTCACGAAAGAAAAAAATTAAATACAAGGTAACATTAAAATATCAGTCATTTGTTTCGTTGCTGTGAGCTTGTTTCAAAACTTCTGGCTTTTGCTTAATATAATTGTAAAACTCTGTGCATGTCATTTTAACGTATTTAGGTACATACTTATATTAATCATCAACTATTGCTTGTGCCAAATGTGCTAAATTAAAAAAAAAATCGCATATGAAAGAGCACCAACCCATCTCGTAATAAATTTAAGTATACAAATTTTAGTTTTTAGTATAGAAATATTCAATTGAAATACGCCATTATTAAAATGAAGCGCTTTGCACTTAACGGATGCTTTTTCATAATTAAGGTAAAAAAAATATATTTAAATTCTATGCTGTCTGTAATGAGATTTGAACCCTGACGCTCTGGAAATTAGCATATTGCGGCAAGCATCTTCGTGCACTCAGCTACAGCCAGACATGTAAATGTGCATTCAAATGTTCAGTTTGATTCAACTCCACGTGTGCGTGGTATGAAAGTATGGTTTTTAAGTACGAACATTTCAAAACGATAATCAAATAAAAAATATTCATGTTACTATGCGTTATTTCCCCCAGTATTTAAATTCATAATTTTTTTTTTTAATATTACAACGCGTTTTTTCTCTGTGTAGTCATTTTTATGCAAAATTTGTGCAATCAAATCGAAAACCGGGACACTTAAACAAAACCCGGGACATTTTAAGGTTGGACCGGGACACCGGGACAAATAGTCTAAAATCGGGACATGTCCGGGGAAAACCGGGACGTATGGCAGCCCTAACCAACAGACATACATACATACATACGTATGTACATACATATATACACAGCAATTTGGTTTGCTGCGTGTCTCTTGTCCAGGTACATAGTACACACTTATGTACATATGTATGAATGCTATACAAATGTTTGAGGGGCTTTATGCTTGATTTAGCGCTTTATGACTTCTAAATCCGCTAGTTTTGTTTCTTTTAAAAACATGTTTTTTTTTCTTTTTCAAATCGGCGCCACGTATTATTCCACACAGACCCGGCCGCACGGGGGGAAAGCCGGTATGCATTGGATTTTGACCCCTTTCGGTGCAAGGATTGCGTGCACTTTATGAAACATGCGTTTTATGAAACATACCTTTTATGTCAGGTCCTATATTTGCACATTACAAGTTTTTGTACCAAAAATGTATCTTTTTAGATTATGAATGTTTATTATTTATTTTTTGAAACGTACAAAATTAAAATATTACACTAGCGGGTATTGTGGCTTATTTGAATTTTCGTAGTGTCAGCTATATAGTTTATTATTTTCTAATTTTCTGGAATCCTTAGAAAGATATACATATTTTGTACAAGAATTCAATGTACAGTTGGTGTACCACAATAACCAACGTCAATAATACTTCTTTTGGAAACCTAGTATAATAAACGTTCAAAAGGTTGATTCAACTTGTTCCTAATTTTTTTCTAAAAAAAAAAAAAAAATTAAAAGTATATTAAAAGTATTTTCAGAGATAGTAGTCGAGTGATCTAGCTTTAATGTAGGCCAGGAAGGTTCTATCACCGATTCTTTGCTAGAGCTTCTACGTAAAATTTTGCAAAAAACGCGATTTTTTACTCTTTGACCTCGTTTTTTTAAATCTGGAGCTGACGGAAACTCAATGCTTACGGATCGTAATGAGCACCAAAAAAGGCTATCAAAAACAGTTTTAACATTTACCGTCCCCTACTTAGTTTTGCAAAATAATTCAATGAATTTCATCAATCATGTGCAGGCATGGGCAGAGACGTGCACACAGTGGGCCAGCTTTTCCCACAATTCATCGCAATCTGGATGTTAATGTTGATTCAGTATTAACCCTCTGCTACTGACGTGTCCGAAATTTCCCTATTTTATTGACACCAAATCAAAATATATATGTTAGATATATATTAATAAACTTTTTTCGATTTAAATTGGAAATTCTATCAATATTTTAAGTACTCATTAATGAAATAGTCATATAAATAAACTATATCGCATGTTTAATAATATAGAGATATAGTTCAAAATTTACGTTTTTGGAGATTTGACCATACATTTAATAAGCTTGATTAGGAGAATATGTTCAGCCTAACAGATGACCAGGCTTTCCAAAAAAATGGCGTAGATACATATCGTTGCCTTAATATAGAAAGGCCCTATCTCACATCGTCGCTGAAATGCACAAAGCCGTAACTAACTAAAATCTTTTATTGCATAAAACGATGTGAGGCCACATAATTCGATCAAATGCATCATAATCAATTAAAACGTAAATTTTCGNAGCTTTCCAAAAAAATGGCGTAGATACATATGTGCCTTTTCCTTTGTCTTTTTGTATACCAACTGTCAAACTTTGATTTCGTTTTCTCATAAAATTGAAATTTTGAATTAATTATATATATTATTAAACGTGCGATATGTCGAAAAATAGGCGTTAATCGAAGCTATTTAAGCTCGGGAAAAATGTCGAACCTTCGGTTTCTGTTAGACTACCTCGTCAGTGGCAGAGGGTTAAAAGAATTTTTAATTATTCGTCGGTGAATTGCATGTGACTCTTCTTTGAGTTGTGCTGAATTTTATCCACAATTAAATACAATTTTGCTGCATACTCTAAATAAAACAATGATATTCTTGGTTGTTACGAAAGACATACATAAACGCATCCCAAAGAGAAATCCTGCGGCCGGCCCTGATTCCAAGGTAAAGATTGTGTCTTACTTATACTTGTGCGCATATTTATGCACAGTTGCGTTCACAAAATAATAATAAGTGCTGTATTTCAAAATGAAAACAACTCTGTTATGACATGTTCTGTTTTACAAGTTGAGGAGCCGTATCGTGTATCCGTATATAATAGGGTGCGTAGCAAGAACAAAATTTTTTTTCTTTTCCATTTGAATGAGAAAATAGCATAATTTACTTTATTTTCAAATTTTTGTTCCAATTGTTTGTTGTAAAGGTAATAATGTCAATTGAAATAGTGCCAATAAAGGTGTATTTAACAAGGTTGTGTTGGGGCGACAGCTGAGTTTTTCGCCGTGGAGGGCATTACGTCAAAATTATGTGTTTGTCGTAACTCATACCATTGACAGTATGGATATCTGCGTATATTTTGTTAGTGTAATTTTTTACTTATATACGGCCAACGCCAACTTGTTAAATACACCTTGGTGTCAATTGACCTTATTTACTTTGATCTTGTTACCTGTCACCGTTTCAATACAATATGCACGTAACCGTACAGCATCAATCCCGAACTCGGAGGAAAGTGATTTTAAACTCGTATGCAAGAATTTACATTCACGCCTGTGATCGAT